AAACATTGTTAAAATGTCTATACTGCCTAGAGCCATCTATACTTTCAATACCATCCCGATCAAAAATTCCACGGGCATTTTTCAAAGAGCTGGAACGAACAGCCGTAAAATTTGTATGGAACCAGAAGAGACCCCGAATTGCTAAGGAAATGTTGAAAAAGAAAAACAAAACTGAGGGCATCATGTTGCCTGATTTCAAGCTTTACCACAAAGCTGTGATCACTAAGCATGGTACTGGCACAAAAATAGACACATAGACCAGTGGAACAGAGTAGAGAGCCCAGATATGGACCCTCAACTCTATGGTCAAATAATGTTCGACAAAGTGGGAAAAATAACCAGTGGAAAAAAGACAGTCTCTTCAATAAATGGTGCTGGGAAAATTGGGCAGCTATGTATAGAAGAATGAAACTTGACCATTCCCTTACACCATAGCTTACAAAGATAAACTCGAAATGGTTAATAGACCTCAACGTGAGGCAGGAATCTATTAAACTCCTAGAGGAGAACATAGGCAGTAACCTCTTCAACATCGGCCTCAGTAACTTCTTTTAAGACATGTCCCCAAAGGCAAAGGAAACAAAAGCGACAATGAACTTTGGGAACTTGATCAAGATCAAAAGCTTCTGGGGGTGCCTGGGTGGCTCTTTGGGTTGGGCCTCTGCCTTTTGCTCAGGTCATGATCTCAGGGTCCTGGGATCAAGCCCCGCATTGGGCTCTCTGCTCAGCACGGAGCCCGCTTCCCCCTCTCTCTCTGCCTATTTGTGATCTCTCTCTGTGAGTCAAATAAATAAATAAAATCTTTAAAAAAAAAAAAGATTAAAACCTTCTTCACAGCAAAGGAAACAGTCAGCAAAACAAAGAGGCAACCCACAGAATAGAAGATATTCGCAAATGACACTACAGACAAAGGGCTGATATCCAAGATCTATAAGAAACTCCTCAGACTCAATATATACAAGACAGATAATCATGTCAAAAAAATGGGCAGAAGACATGAACATGTATGTCTCCAAAGAAGACATACAAATGGCTAACAGACACATGAAAAATAGCCATCAGGGAGATTCTAATCAAAACCACATTGAGGGGGTGCCTGGGTGGCTCAGAGGGTTGAGCCTCTGCCTTCAGCTCAGGTCATTGTCTCGGGGTCCTGGGATTAAGCCCCGCATGGGGCTCTCTGCTTAGTGGGGACCCTGCTTCCCTCTCTCTCTGCCTGCTTGTGATCTCTCTCTCTGTGTCAAATAAATAAATAAAATCTTTAAAAAAAACACACACATTGAGATACCACCTTACACCAGTTAGAATGAACAAAATTAACAAGGCAGTAAACAACAAGTGTTGGAGAGGATGTGGAGAAAGGGGAACCTTCTTACACTGTTGGTGGAAGTGCAAGTTGGTGCAGCCACTTTGGAAAACTGTGGAGATTCCTTAAGAAATTCAAAATAGAGTTACTCTATGACCCTGCAATTGCAGTACTATTTACCCCAAAGATACAGATGTAGTGAAAAGAAGGGCCATCTGTACCCCAGTGTCCACATAGCAACAATGGCCACAGTTGCCAAACTGGAGAGCCAAGATGCCCTTCAAGAGATGAATGGATAAAGAAGATGTGGTCCATATATACAATGGAATATTACACCTCCACCAGAAAGGTTGAATACCCAACTTTTGTATCAACATGGACGGGACTGGAGGAGATTAGGCTGAGTGAAATAAGCAGAGAAAGTCAATTACCATATGGTTTCACTTACTTGTGGAGCATAAGCAATAACATGGAGGACGTTGGAGAGGAGAAGTGAGTTGGGGGAAATCGGGGAGATGAAGGATGAGAAACTGTGGACCCTGAGAAACAAACTGAGGGGAGGGGAGTGGTGGGATAGGTGAACCTGGTGGTGGGTTTTAAAGAGGGCACGTATTGCATGGAACACTGGGTGTGGTACATAAACAATCTTGGAACACTGAAAAAAATTTACAAAAAAATTCAAGGAAGTTTGGCAAAATTGTAAAAAAAGAAAAACTAAGAATGCTCAAAATGATAATAATTTTAGATTTTAGATTTCACTGTTAAAAGTTTAATAAAGAAAATGAATTACAGGTCTGTCACCAGAAACCATACATAGAAAACTGAAAATTGGAGAAAACTTTCTTCTGTTTCTGTCAATTTGATCTGCCAATAAACCTGCCCAGTGAAGTAATTCAGGCAAGTTCATTTACACAGGGGCACCTGGGTGGCTCATTCAGTTAAGCGTCTGGACTTCAGTTCAGGTCATGATCTCTGAGTCTTGGGACTGAGTCCCATGTTGGGCTACCTGCTCAGTGGGGAGTCTGCTTCTCCCTCTCCCTCTGTCCTGCACCCCCACGCCCCACCCCAGCTTATGCTCTCTCGCTCGCTCTCAGATAAATAAAATCTTTAAAAAAGATCATCTACACAGACAGTATGGCACTGTAACTTAATTCTTTGGTAAATAACAGCATATGTAGATATATGTACTATATATACACACATACATGATATATATATATACAGTTATTTGGAAAAAATCTTAATTATATACTCAAAAAATTACTTTGGTAGGAGGATACTTGCATAGATAAAAAGGTACTTGGGTAATGTGAATCCATTAGGCATGCCATGAGCTGTCTAGATCTACAGCTTTTCCATATAGCTGAAAATAAGCATTTTAAGTGGTAGAAACACTTTTACTTGGCTATTTTTATATGTAGAGTTTCCCTGATTTCTTCAGTAGTCTATTGGACACAAGATGTTAATCAAGATACTCATCTTGTTATGAGTTCAGCTTTATAAATGTCTTTTATTTGGAGGTATTGAATATGTGGATGCAAAAGCAGAAATAAGTGAGTTACAGCAGAGTGAAATGATCACTGCTGCCATATGCCTTCAGTCAGCTTTTAGGGAAGAAACCCTGATATTACCAACTTCATCTTCTATTCCCCTACTGTGGGCCTGAGACTGGTGTACTCTCAACGCTCTTCTGGATCCACTATGAAGAGAGTGGGCTAAGCACCCTTGTTTTGGCTTATTTCCCCTCTGCTTGCTCTCTTCAAGTCCCATACTAATACTCATGTGATCTTTTATTGTTAGTAGATCTTTTTTATTGTTGAACATGTCTGCTTTTTACATATCCTAGGTCGGTGTTTGTTTTGTTTTGTTTTTGCCTTGTTCAGTTTGGTGTAAAGAACTGTGTCTGGTACAGCGTATCTATCATTAAGACTCCCCTTACAGCCACTAGATGCACCTCCCACCGGGAGACCGTCTGCATGTGATGCCCAAAAGGCTGTTAATGAGCTTTTGCACACTCACTTCTGCTTTCTGGAGTTTGTTGTTCTTAGGTATTCCTTATTGTGCTTGTACTCTTATCTTCTGTCTCTTCTCTCATGTCATTTGTTGCCTCTCTCATGTTCTACTTTTGGTGTGAAAAGTTTGATCTTAATTTATTTTATTTTTTTTGAAAAGTTTGATCTTTTATAAACATTGTTATTCATTTAATTCTTTTATTCCATGTAGAGATCTGCCTACTATAACAAATTGAGTTAGCTCAAATAATCTTCAGGTGTTTGAGCTATTCTTGTGGTATCATTCACAAAAAGAATTTGTTAGTCTCCTCTCTTTCTGGCTGTGTTGCTCATCTGTTTCCAGATCCAGAACTATTTTGACATATGGAATCTAGAAGGTTGTGGTTTTGTTATATTAGGGTTTTAAAGTTCATTCCAATCTATAGAGATCAGTATGTGTCTACTATACTCAGAAGTGGATTCTGAATGGGTCTTAGAGAAATAAGAATTTGTTAATCATGTAAATGTAATGTTTCAAGGGCCCAGTTGAAATTGTTTTTATGATTATGTAAATCTATAAATAAGATGAAGAAGTCATATCAAAGGATTCCATTTCTGGGGCACCTGGATGGCTCAACTAAGCATCTGCCTTCGGCTCAGGTCATGATCCCAGGGGCCTGGGATCAAGCCCTGCATTGTCAGGCTCTCTGCTCAGGAAGGACCCTGCTGCCCTGCTCCCCAGCTTGTACTCTTCTCTCTCAAACCTTTTTTTTTTTAATTTTATTTATTTATTCATTCATTCATTCATTCATTCATTCATTCGGTAGAGATCACAAGTAGGCAGAGAGGCAGGCAGAGAGAGAGGGAAGCAGACTCCCTGTTGGGCAGAGGGAATGATGCGGGGCTCAATCCCAGGACCCTGAGATTATGACCTGAGCTGAAGGCAGAGGCTTAACCTACTGAGCCACCCAGGCGCCCCTCTTCTTCTCTCTCAAGTAAATAAAATCTTTAAAAAGGGGGGGGGTTAATTTCTTACAAGAATTGTCTCACTTCCTGTTTCTCAATAATATTGTGTGTTTTTTTTTTGTTTTTGTTTTTAAGATTTTATTTATTTATTTGAGAGAGAGAGTGAGAGCATGAGAGGGGAGAAGGTCAGAGGGAGAAGCAGGCTCTCCGCAGAGCTGGGAGCCGGATATGGGACTCGATCCTGAGACTCCGGGACCATGACCTGAGCCGAAGGCAGTCGCCCAACTGACTGAGCCACCCAGGCGCCCATTTTTTTTAAAGATTTTATTTAGGTGAAAGAGAGAGAGCACGAGTAGGGTTGGGTTAGAAGGGAAGGGAGAAGCAGACTCCTCACTGAGCAGGGTTAGAAGGGAAGGGAGAAGCAGACTCCTCACTGAGCAGGGAGCCAGATGCAGGGCTTGATCCCAGGATCCTGAGATCATGACCTGAGCTGAAGGCAGACACTTAACTGACGGAGCTACCCAGGTGCCCAACAATGTAGTATTCTTTTGTTTTTGATTTTTAAAAAGCAGCAAACCAAAGAATATACTTGGTCTAAACACAGAAAGTATTTAAGAAGCTTAACCTCCTAAAGGCTGTCCTTTTATGAACTGTAATTCTCTTGAACAAAAATATTTGAGGGGATAGGACTTCCATCAAAGTCAAAACAACATTTCTTTTTTTCCTGCTTCTTAAAGGTTGCTGTTGAAGAAATCTGGTTGCAGAACACCAAGGATTGAATTGGAAGAGATGGGACCCTCATTGGATCTGGTTCTGAGGAGGACACATCTGGCATCAGATGATCTTTATAAATTATCTATGAAAATGCCAAAAGCCCTCAAGGTTTGTAACTTGCAGATCGGTACCGTATTTATTTGTATATTCCACTCTTCTTTCCAAAAGGATTTGCAGCATAGGACACTAAAGAACATATGGAAAGAGATCAATAATATAGATAAAATTAGACTCTAAGAACAAAGAAAAGGAGGAAGAAGCAAATAAGGCAACCATAAAGGGTAATAAAAGATTGTAGAAACCATACATCAACTATGGCTAAGAGCTTTCTGATAGCCAAGACTGCTGGTTTTCAGCAAGAAAGAAAATTGGGGTATTGTGGAGATTGGGGATTTAGAGTACAGGATGTGTATGTAACCCATACTTGCATAAAACCTATTTTGATTTTTGAATGGTTTTAAAAAACAAGTAGAAGTGTCATCTCTGGAATGCTAGTAAAGATTAAATGATAGTCACAATACCTTAAGCTAAACACAAGAAATTATCTCAGTGCATGATAATCGTTAGCATAGTCTATAGTGTTGATTTTTGAAGTGTGGTATGACAGTTTACCTGGGAATTGTTAGAAATGCTAAATCTCAGGTCCCACCCAGATGTGTTGAATTATAATATGCATTTTAACAAGATTCCCAAGTGATTTGAATGTACTTAAGTTTGAGAAGAAAGGTCTATAGGGTTATAGATTATATTGAATAGGTGATCACTAATGGAAATTGTTAGTAAAATAGTTAATGTACACTAGATTTTTACCAGTTTATACACTAGATAGCATTATATATATAATGAATATACATAATTATGTGTTTATATATATATATTCTTGTTTCATAGCCAAAGAAGAAGAAAAATGTCTCCCATGATACTTTTGGTACAACTTATGGAAGGATTCATATGCAGAAGCAAGACCTAAGCAAACTACAAACCAGGAAAATGAAGGGGTTGAAGAAGCGACCTGCAGAAAGGATAACAGAAGACCAGGAGAAAAAATCAAAGAGAATTAAAAAAAAATGATGGAACTTAGCCAGTGACTATAATGTTATTGTAGTCTGTTTACTTAAGAGTATTATCAATCATCAGTCATTTGTAAGTTTCTTATAAGATTTTATTAAATGTTTTTATAGTATGGTAATTTACCTAAACTATATATTATATATATTATGAACACTAATCTACTGGTATTAGGTTGAATTAAGCCTCTTTGTTTCTTCATTTTGTTTTGTTTTTAAAGATTTTTTTATTTGACAGAGAGACAGCCAGCCATAGAGGGAACACAAGCAGGGGGAGTGGAAGAGGGAGAAGCAGGCTTCCCACTGAGCAGAGAGGCCAATGCAGGGCTCAATCCCAGGACTCTGGGATCATGACCTGAGCCGAAGGCAGACACTTAACAACTGAGCCCCCCAGGTGCCTCGAAATTAAGCCTCTTTGAGATATATCCTGGTGGGTCATTTTCTCTCTATGTTACGGTATTCCCTCTGCCACAACCTCCACCCCGCAACAAGTCTCATTGAGTTGGTAGGTGAGGAGGGATCTCCAGAACAACCATACTTCTGGGTTAAGCTTTCAGTAAAGGAAGAAAGCCATGGAAAGTAGAAATGGCCCAGAGGAACTGTATACACACTTACTATGAATTACCTGGAAAGTTAACCCCATCTCCCAACACATACCTACAACCTGACTTTTGTTTCTCACTCTTCTGTTACTCTGCCTGAAATTCTTCCAGTTAGAGATTCATTTGAGATTTTTAACTTTGTGTCTTAAAACATTTCTCTTAAGAGCATGTCCACTAATTTTCTACCACCTCCACCTCCCCCAAAAAACACTGATATTCATGGTCATACACTAAAAAACGTGCCTCTGAAGAAGTCCAGCAGAGAAGGTACAGCATACTGTGGAGCAAAACAAATCGGAAACTGGCAGGCTGAGGAGGGCACAAAGAACAGTTTTCACTTTAACCTCATCAGCTCTACCCCTGTGACGCAGCTCTCCGCCAAGAGAAACCTTACAGCCTGCAGTTTCCCCAGGGAGGGGAGGGAGAAGGTGTGAGGGAACACATGGCTCCCCTAGCCCTGCAGGATGCTGTCAGAGAGAACCCTCTTTCTAGTCCCACCCAGAATACTGAGATGTACTGCGCAGCCGGGGAGGGGACTGCACCTGGCCTGACAGCACCCAGGGCTCTCAGAGGGCAGTAAAACCAATGTGGACCGTGGAAACCACAGCATAGCCTCCATTAGGAATCTGCCCATGAGCCACTAGAAGTGGCTTGCCTGCAGACCCCCACAGATGGTCCATGGTGCACACCACTCTCAGTGCCTCACCCATATGTCATCCCACCCCGTGGCCTGCCACCAGCGCACGAGGAGGGCAACACAAGTGAGCTTCTGGGAGTGGCTAGCGGACGTGTGCAGAAAGCAGTCCCATTCTCCCGGACTGGGAGAGATCACACAGATTCAGTCAGCACTGCCCTAGAGAGCAGACAAAAGGGAGATTCAGCACCCAGTGTGGCTTCACAGGATCAAGAGAAGGCCTTAAAGTTTGTATGACACGGTCTTGGAGTAGGAAACAAATACGCCAACCATGGAGACGATTTAAAGCCTGAATGTGTTTGGATCTGAGCTATGCATTCACTGCAGACTCTGGCTAAAGCGCTTTTTTTCTTTCATTGCTTCAATTCTCACCTAAGTATGATGAAGTGTTCAAACCTGCAGGAACTGCATCCTCTCTCTGGCTTCCAACTTGACTTAAGAAGAAATAAACTAATAATTTAGAAGCATGCTTCTTTCTGACTCCATGATCAAGCATGGAGGAAATGGACCAATCAAGAGTTGCCTTCTGCACAGGAGCTGGCAGTATTATGAGGGAGAGAAAGAATCAAGGCCATTGACGCTGTGGGCTATGATACTAACCTACTTTGTTCAGATGGCTTTTTTTTTTTTTTTAAAGATTTTATTTATTTATTTGACAGAGAGAGATCACAAGTAGGCAGAGCAGCAGGCAGAGAGAGGGGAAGGGAAGCAGTCTCCCCAATGAGCAGAGAGCCCGATGCGGGACTCGATCCCAGGACCCTGGGATCATGACCCGAGCCAAAGGCAGGGAGGCTTTAACCCACTGAGCCACCCAGGCACCCCTGTTCAGATGTTTTTAAACTGAATTTAATCCAAAGACTTTCCCAGTAAGAAGAAGCCAGTTAGGGGCGCTTGGGTGGCTCAGTCGGTTAAGTGGCTGCCTTCGGCTCAGGTCATGATCCCAGGATCTCGGGATCGAGCCCCGCATCAGTCTCCCTGCTCAGCGGAGAGCCTGCTTCTACCTCTGCCTCTGCCTGCTGATCTGCTTACTTGTGCTATCTCTCTGTCAAATAAATAAAATCTTAAAAAAGAAAAAGCCAGTTAGCAAATAACTAACAACCATTAACTCCACTAAAAGTAACTACTCTCACCGTGCCAATTGCTGATTCTATCCCTTGTTAGGAAGACTTCAAGAGGCCTCGAAAGGAGCCTACCATTGAGCAGGGGTGGGGGAATGAGGGAATTAAATATTTACTCAATTTGTTTCATTCCATTGATTTTTCTACAACACTAGAGAACTTTTTTAAAAAGAAGGTTGTGGTTAGCAATGTTTAATTCAGTCACGCATGAACAAGGGGCAGGGATGTTGGTAGCACATCATCTCTTCATTAGCCATTAGTCCAAATGCCTTTGTGCAATCTACTAATAATAGTAAAGTGGCTGATACATGCATATAAAAACTTTAACATATATCTCAAAAAGAAAGATTTTCATTATAATGATAACAAAAGATCACAAGTCCAAGAATATATTGAATTATCTTTGAACAGAGTCTTATTAAGAGAGACATATAAACAGAAGGAAGCAGTATGTTCTAAAATAATCAGATATATGCTTTGTGGGTTTTTATTTTTCATAAATCAATTTATAAATTTATAAATCATAAAGCTTAAATGAAAATGAGTAGCAGTAGCAAAAAAAAAAAAGGCTACTACTTGATCATTGACATATTACCTACCATATTATTATCTTTCTTTTTCTTTAAGGTTTTATTTATTTATTTGTCAGAGAGACTAGCACAAGCAGCAGGCGTGGCAGGCAGAAGGAGAAGCAGGCTCACTGCTTAGCAAGGATCCCAGGAGCTTGGGATCATGACCTGAGCTGAAGGCACTTAACCACCTGAGCCACCCAGGTGTCTCCATACCACTGGTTATTTTAAGAGATGCTGCCACTAAGCTCTGTTCCCTCTTCTGTGAGAGAAAAGCAGTTTTGGTAGGGCTAGAGGGAGAGACTGGGTAAGGTTTAGGACAAAATGCACTTAGGGTACTGAGAAGCTCTAGGTAACTAAAGGTCCCATGAGGGCCCTGGGTAGTGTTCATACCAAGTAGGAGTGAGCCAAAGCCAAACAGCTTATTTTGAAATTTTCTTAAAAATGCCTAGGAAAATGGGAAGAAGCTTTCTACTTCCTCCTAGTGATGCATACTTGTTTTCCTTAAATGTCCAAATTTAGGTTCCTGGTAAAGAAGCTCCTTTATACAAGTGCAAACCAACCATGTAGCAAGAACACAAACATATATAAACTATAATTTGTTGTCTGAGGTGGGAATGCTTTTGTTTTTAATTCCATGTCAAGGAGCTCCCTTATGCCTGTGTGTGCATATGTTTACGTGATTTTGCGGACGCTAAGCAAAAGCTAGAGCCTCAATTTATCTTCCATATCTTGCCCTTTCTCTGATAAACCCATTCCTTAGCTTTCCCTCTCCCCATCCCTCTCCAGATGGTTAATATCTCTCATAAAAAGGGAGCTGGTATTATTATTTGGACTTGTTGCTTGTTTGTACATTTACCCAAAGATGACAGAGTTTTAGATCTGAAGCAGGCATTTTACGTCTAGATGCAAAGAAAAGGCTAAAATAATTCATATCCAGCCATCTACAAGTAAATGGACAATAGTTGGGGCGAAGAGGAGCCATGAAAGGTACATCAGAAACATGAATGCAGAGTTCTTACCCAGGGCTTGGTCCTCTACGTTCAGCTAACTCAGCTAACACTTACGGAAATAGTGATTCAGCCATGTAATGGGTCTTACTAGCCACTAACAGAAAGGACCCTGCCATACCTTGACCTCTATTAGGAAGACATCTCCCAGCGATTCAACTGACAGAGATGACCACATTTTTGGTATGCGGGACATTGGGTTAGGGTGTTTGTTTAAAAATTTATTTTTAGGTAATTGCTACACCTAGTGTGGGGCTCAAACTTAATAGCTCTGGGGGTCAAGAGTCACATGCTCTGCTGACTAAGCCAGCCAGGGGCCCCTTGGAGTGTTTTTTTAATCTATCTGTTATCTATCTATCTATGATTTTATTTATTTGAGAGAAAACAAGCAGGGAGAGGATTAGAGGGAGAAGCAGGCTCCCCACTGAGCAGGGACCCTGATGTGGGGCTCCATCACAGGACCCTAGGATCATAACCTGAGCCAAAGGCAGATGCTTAACTGAACCACTCAGGTGCCCCAGGGTGTTTGTTTTAATCAATCGTCTTTGAGATTTGGTAATGTATTCTTTTGTTTCCTCTGTTGATTTTTATCTCAAGGTTATGGGTTGTCTAATAGGTATTTGAATGCATCCTCTTCAGTAAGAGAAGTATTACAAAGTATTATATCTAGTTGGAATTATTATTATTATTTTTAAGAACACTGGAGTTGTTGAGCTATCTGGAAACTTGGATCTACCATTTATATCACCAATTTTGTGGGAAGAGCATTTTAATTTCCACTTGCCCTTGAACTTTAGGAGACAACATACATAATTTGGAGAATGTATATTCATTTCAACAGACGTGGTAAACTACCTTAATTTTTACTTAATGAAGTTTTATTAACCCTGGATTTTGATAGATGAAGAAAACAGGTTTTTTGGTTTTAAATACCAAATTGCTTTTTTTTTCCCCCCGTAGGATGTTAATACTGATACCAAGCTATGTATAATTTAATGAAATTTAGTTCCCTTTTATAACCTAAATGCTGCTATTAGTTTTCTTGGTGTTGAACATAATCCAAAGTAGAGTTGTCATTACTCAAGAGAAGAAGAGGAAAAAAAGAACTTACCCCAAGTCAGTTTTCAGT